ATGAAACCTCTAATGCACATTCTTAAAGTCCCTGAAGATGTAAAATATCTTCTTCCTAGGATGTGTTAATTATGCACGAACTATATTAAGCCCACAGACTTTAGTAGGCTCCCGCTCTTGGAAAGGCCAGGCATTTGGGGGATGTTTTGCTAGGAAGCCCAGGCACTGGCACAAGGGATTATGCAGACACTTCTGAACATGGGATGCCTTCCTTGCCCAGTCTTGACTCAAGGGTTTCCAGGTCACATCCTCCTGCCAAAGGGACACAAATGAACATGTCCTACTTCCCTTTTCCGCAGGCTGGTGGCTCTGGATTCACCCTGCAGTAAGCAGTAGGAGTCAGGTGGGCAGCGGTGCCTCCCTGCGAACCAAGGCCCTGGTTCATACAGCAGAAAAATCCTCCGTCTGTAAGGAGCAGTCCCTGGAGTGCCAGAGGGATGAAACCACGGAATCTTTTCCACTTTGACCTTCTATGACACTTTTAAATCTCTTTATAGTTTTAAGATTGCAAAAGACAGGATGGAGCCTGCCCTCTGCTGTCGTCTCTTTAAAGTCCTTCAGGGTAGGGAATGGTTTCCCTGTGGCACTTCAGGACACAAGCTGGATTTAAGGGCAAGTCGCATGGATGGCAAAGCCTAAAGCTTTCATCTCGGCACTCTTGTTCACCCCTGTTCATGAACCAGCCCTCCCCCATTATCAGACGTCGCTGCGGAGGAGGCCGTGAGGCTCTCGAGGAGTCACCCTTGCGGAAGCGCCATGCCCAAGCGCTTCCACCATTCTGCACATTGCTGCAAAAAGAAATGAGAGCTGAAATGAGCGCATTTTGGTTTGATAAAAATGACAACTTTTAAAACAAAACAAAAAAGCTATATAGAGACTGCAAAGCCATGGTTCAACAGCAACATCAAAGCCTGTGGCTCTCCTGAGCCGTCCTGTTGTGTATCTGCAGGGTATTTAGGACTGTTTTTATTGATGCTCAGGATAGTCACCCCTGGCACAGCAACTTAACGTATCTGGTGTTACAGGATCTGCTGTAGCAAAGCATTTTTTTCCTCAGTGCATTGTATAGATCCACAGCAGTAGTATTTTTTTCCATCGCTGAGCTTAATGAGGCCAGGATTTATTGCTTTTATTCAGATTAATTGATAGCAACACATCTGCCTTTCTGAGTTGCAGACAAATAAAACAGCTCATCATGCACAGCACAATTAGCTCATATTATCTCATTTAATTAGATCCAAAAGCAGGGCATGGTTTAATGATGTCTGTGCTGAACCTTCCTGGTATTATCCTGTATCCAGTCAGAACGTAACCAAACGCCTTTGGAACTTAGCACAAAAGCTAGCCATGATGCTGTATATATCATACTGTATCAAAAAAACCACAAATCCTTGTAAAACCAGCATTATATGAGGAATATGAAGGATTTTTATCCAAATCTTATCGCTTGTTTGCTTCTGCCCAGCATATTTCAGGCACGGCTTTTGTAGCTATGGTGCTGTCGCAGTGGTGAAGAGAAGCTCCCTTGCTAGTAGCAAGCGTGCAATTACTTTCCTTTGCGAAGCTTTGGTCCTTTAAACCAAAGCTGTCATTGCCATCTCATTGATCCTTTTTGTCACTGTCCCACCCAGAGGCACAGGTCAGCCAACTGCTTTGCAAGACCTTCGTGTAACTGCAAAGATTTTTACCTTATTCGTGCCTTCCTCCAGCTTCTGATGCATCTGCTTATTGTAAGAAGAGCTCTTGCTTGCTCTGCTTGTAGCAGGTGATGTGGCAGCACTGTTTCCTCCTCAGGCTAACTGTTGTTTTCCTGAGCCCATACCTGCTGTGTTTTAACCAGATAACTTGCTTTATTAAGCTTAGGAGGCTTTAGTTTCCTTGTTTTCAGTCTTAGTGAAGATTTCATTCTTACCATATTGACTACATTATAAGTAGTGATCATACGACTAATTTATTAATTTGCTAAAACGTGCACAGGTATCTAGCTGATAGTTGTGTTGCTCCAATTAGGACACAAGAAATCTCTTGGGAACAGCAGTATTTTCCCCAGGACAGCGAGGAGAGAGTTGCAGCTCCTTGGCAAGCAGCAGCTGGTGCTGAAGACCTCGTCTGGCCGGATGGGCCCTGACCAAAGGTCCGTGCAGTGCTATGGCCAGTGACTCCTGTCCGTCCCGCAGCCGATCTGGGGCCGCTTGGTGATCTCCGGGTCAGCGGCTGCCGGGCTGGCTCCCGTTTGCAGCAGACGCTGCAGGACCTGAGCTCAGCCCTGCTCGCGGGCGGCTGCTGAGGGCAGCAGATGGCATCACCGTGCAGGAGTTGCATTGGCTGGTCTGGGTAGACACTTAGTCTTGCTGACATTTATTATTGGATTTCCTCTTATTTGGAGTTTCAGTTTTACATAATGGAAGAGTGCTTGCTTTTTTTTTCAGCTTTTTTTTTTGTGTGAGTGTACATGTGAAAGACAATTTGCCACCACTTTTCAAACGGACTAACCATTTAGAATGCAAATGAACTCTCTGAAAGCTGTGGTAAATCTTACATGCATAGCCTGAGACTAATTACCTCTCACGGCTCACCAAATGCTTTATTTTGAAGGTGTAGGATGAGAAGATGTACTCAGAGGGACTGTGCTCTTTGGGTTTCACAGAAGGGTTCATACAAACTCCTCATGTCCTCCTAACCATGGCTTCCCACCTCTGCCAGTGGGATCCTCTTGGCTTCCACTGAGGGATACCCATAGCCTCTTAATTTACATTCTCTTCTCATTTCTGGACACAGGGCACTACGAGTCATCATCTGTTCTGCTTTGTAAGAGAAGAGGTTGTTCTCTGCTGGCATTAGGATGTTTCTAAAGCTTGGTGGAGGAAATCTGTGTCCATGAGTAAGTTGTGGGGGGCCTCTGCATATGGGAGCATTGCCTGTGCCATCAAGGGCTCATGCGGGCTGACCCAGCTCATCGCTCCCGATGGGCCCAGGAGGAGGGTTTGGTGACCAGGAAGCGAGGAGGTGGCTTCACCTGTTTTTCAGCACAACATGCTGCAGCGGGAGGGGATACTCAGTGCAGTCCTTGTTTCCCATTCCTGGAGAGACAGAGCCTGCAGGCTCTCCTATCTAGGCTCAGCTCCCACGGGCAGGAGGGAAGAACCCCGTGTTGTTTCTTGCTGGCACCCAAAGTGTTTTAGTGACATGTGGCGGGAGGCAGGAGGAGGCCCTGGTGCTGTGCTGTTCTGCTCATTTTGCCCACAGCAGAGGATGGATATTTGCTCACTCTTGGCCCTTTCTTGCTGTGTGCTGAGTTCCACAAAAGCAACAGCCCTCCATTTCTTCCAAAGGAATTCCCCAAATTGGAGTTTCTAAGGACGGTGGTACAAAGCCTCTTCCCAGCACATGTACATTTATAGGAGCATAATCTAGGCAAAGGGAGGGGTGAGAAAGGGATTCAAGCATTAACCAAGGCCTTGGACAAGTCAAGTAAAATGGTTCAACTCTAATGACTGTTCAGGCCTAGGGTAGTGGAGACCAGCTCCAAGGCTGTGTGTATAAGGCTAGCAGAGGTGCCTCTTCCTGGAGGTGGTTGATTCAATGCTTGTTTGATTCCTTCTGATACTTTCCAAGTTATTTGTCTTGCACAGAAAGCTGACAAAAGCCATAAAAGGCTCCTTGGAGTTTCAGGAAAACAGATGTCAGATAGTATCTGAGTACACTTTTTAGCAAATGGCTTATAGCCTTTCAGGAGACAGATTCCTGTACTTCAGCTAAATTCAGGAAAATTTTAGAAAGACAAAAAAAAAAAAAAGACATGAGCACTGTGGCAATGGCTTATTTTGGATGTGCCGAGCCTAAATGTTTCATCTGGGAGTGATATTACCAAAGAGCTGGCAACAAGGGGTACTTCGCTCTTGCCCTGCAATGTTCCTGTCTAACTGCAGACATCTACAATACAGACGTCAGCACCCAAGGTGTTTGTGCCCAACTTCCTTTGTAGCCCATGGAGAGAAAGGGAGGAATTCATCCAAATCATTTACTTGTCAGCTTCGGCATGAAATGTGTCATGCCCAAAGCTCTACCGCTTATAGTGAGTATGTTCCCTGACTATAAAGTCACAAGCTCACGTGTAGCCCTGCCTTTTCCAAACACACTTCTAGAATTGGAAAATAATTCTTCGGTACTGAAGAGAGTCTTCTGACAGTAAGTAAAATTTACAGTAAAACTTGTTCTTGTACCTTAGCAGTGGCATTGAGTAAATGCTGTCACCTGTGAAAGCTCAATGCGAGCTCAATTCTTTTAGCTGTTGCTAAGAAAATTCAAAATCTTTTGATATTTCCTACTTTTGCATGAAACTAACGCGTGTAAATGCAGAAATATGCATGCAGTAGTTCAGGTTTTCCTTATTTATTTTGTCTTTCCATCTCAAATGCCTGTCCTAGAGGAAAGCTATATTCCGGGTGTGGAAACCTTATAACATATTAATCTGTGGGAGCATATGAAAGTTTTGAAATAGACGTTTACAGTTGCAATAGTTTTTGAATACAGATTTATTTGAAAATTTAACAACTACTAAGCTTGAAATGCAGAAGGTACAAAGATTGGGAATTTGATTGTATTAATAACTTGAGCAAAATCTTCAGGAAAAGAAAATCATGATATTTTTCTGAAGTCAAGAGGTATTTACACAGACAGACACATCCATTGCTGTTTGACATTTTCCCATTTTATCTGAAGGACACTACAGATCTGGAAAAGCCAGATTGTTCTCATTATTAACGTAATGAAAATTATTTGACTCTGAGCAAAAGGAGAAAGGCCCAATTGAGGAGTGTGGGAAAGTTATAGGAGGGAGAAGTGGAAAGTGACTTAGTTTCTTTGGTTGCTGTGGTACGACTACCTTCACCAAAGATCCTCTAGGACAACAGATTTGGCTGTGACATAATTTGCCTTTTCCATCCCTTTGCTCAGCCAGATTTAGCTTCAAGTTGGGCAGATAGGAAAGGAAAATGCAACTAGCAAAAGGAAGCTGGTTTGATGAGGATGAGAGAGGCTTTGCAGTTGCGACTGCACAGGCTACCCCATGTCAGGCCACCCTTGACATTCAGCCGTACAGAGTAACACGCTGAGTACCACCACCCACCCCCATTGGTGGAGGCACAGTTCCCAGTGCTAGTGTCCTGATCCAGGTCTTTAGCAGAGAACTTCATGTTGTCGTGTGCAGTAGAAGAACTAGCTGAAGTCATGGCATCCCCTGCAGTCCCTGTGTAGGAGCCCAGTCTCAACAAGTAGCCACGGGATTCCTCTTCCAGACCGAAGAAATTGTAGTCTGCGAACTTGGTGGCATTTGTGGCATCCCAGATAACGAACTTGGCCTGGTAGACCTTCTGCTTGGCAATCTGATAGATGTACTCCGTGCCCAGCCAGTAGTCACTCTGCACGTCCCCAAAGCCGTACTTGTAGGTGCTCCAGGACTCGGCCCAGGTGATCGCTGTGTTATACCGGTTCCTCTGGATGACCGTCCAGCCCCCGTCGGTCACATTCATTTCACAGTACACCACAAGTGGGTGAAGTCCTGTGGGCTGGATGATGTAGACACCGCTGGG